TGTAGTGGGGGTTGAGTTTTAATAAAGGAAAATGGATTTTTACGAATTGTAAATTTTGAATTAATTCTTAGTTAATTCTTTTATATATGTAGGAAGAAAAATGGATTTTTACGAATTGTAAATTTTGAATTAATTCTTATTTAATTCTTTTATATATGTAGGAAGGAAAATGGATTTTTACAAATTGTTGAATGAGAATTATCGTGTAAATATTTTTGAGTATAATAAAGCGTTAAAAAGTGGTAGGAGAGATGCAGCTGTTTTATATTTTGTGGATAATATAGAAAGAATAATAAAATATAATTCATGGGAAAAATGTGAATGTTATGTAAATAGAAATAAAATAACGTAACATATAGTATTAGATGTTTTATAATAGTATTAATTTAGGGGTAATGTTATATTTTTTTAAGAAAAGTTATAATGTAGCACGGATTATATTATATATCTAATAATGTAATGTTAAGATAAAAGTATATTGATTTTTAAGTTATAGATATAATATTATGGGTAAAAAGAGAAGAGAAGTTAAAGTTATTGTAATGGAGAAATATGGTAATAGTATATTTATATGGAAATTATAGTGAAATTGGTAAGGGATAAGATTTTGTTGTTGGTTAAATAGATAAATAATTGGTAGGGGTTATATTTAATTATAATTAGGGTAAATTATTGTATAGAAGAAATTCTGTTGTGTAGTATTGTAATGTAATTTTTGTTTATTTGCGATTAAAATTGGAGGTTTTGGAAATGTTGTGATTTAAAACATTGTTGAAAATTAATTGTGTTGATATTTGTTCGATATTAAATAATGATTATGGTATAGGTGGGTGATTTTAAAGGTAATTTTGGTTTATTTGCGATTAAAATTGGAGGTTTTGGAGATTTTGTAATTTGAAATATTGTTGAAAATTAATTGTGTTGATATTTGTTCGATTGTTTTTTTAGTTTATGTTAAATAAATTGTCTTATGTAGGTGGATGGTGATGAGGGAGAATGGAAGGAATGTATGTTTGTATATATATAATTTAGTATTAATATGTATAATGTAAAAAAAAAGGAAAAGAAATAAGGATAATATATATTTAATGTTAGTGAGTGATTGAAAAAATATAAATATTTTCAGACAATTTATTTGGTGGTAACCAATTAGAAAATGGTGTTTTTAAATATTTTTTTGGAATGGATGTAGCAAGAAATGATTATATATTTATATATAATTTTTGATAACAATGTTATATGTTTGAAATAATTAATATTGATACTGTCAAGATGTTGTTTTGTTTTATATTTAAAAAAGAAAAGAAAAGAAAGAAATTATTAAAAAGAAAAGAAATTATTAAAAAGAAAAGAAAAGAAAGAAATTATTAAAAAGAAAAGAAAAAAATTATTAAAAAGAAAAAAAAGAAAGAAATTATTAAATAAAGAAAAGAAAAGAAAAAGAAGAAAAAAAAGAAATTATTAAAAAAAAAAGAAAAGAAAAAAATTATTAAAAAAAAAAAAAGAAAAAAATTATTTAAAAAAAAAAGAAAAGAAAGGTATTTTGGTCTTAGATGATTAGATGGTAGCTGAAATGATCAATTAAGATTGGAGCATGAGTAATGAGGTGATTTGGGGATGATGAAGAATGGGAATGGACAAATGGTTAACAATGGTAATTGTCAGATGGTGATTTGATTAACAATGGTAATTTGATTAACAATGGTAATTTGATTAACAATGGTAATTTGATTAACAATGGTAATTGTCAAATGATGATTTGGGGATGATGATGAATGATGGGCACTGTGAATGAGGTAAGATGGAGAATGGTTTGGAGAACAATGGTGAATTAGATGTGAATGATGAAGAATGGGAATGGGAAAATGGTTAACAATGGTAATTGTCAAATGGTGATTTGGGATGATGATGGTAAGTCAAATGGTGATTTGGTTAAGTCAAATGGTGATTTGGTTAACAATGGTAATTGTCAAATGGTGATTTGGTTAACAATGGTAATTGTCAAATAGTGATTTGCGGATGATGATGAATGATGGGCACTGTGAATGAGGCAAGATGGAGAATGGTTTGGAGAACAATGGTGAATTAGATGGGAATGATGAAGAATGGGAATGGGCAAATGATTAACAATGGTAATTGTCAGATGGTAATTTGATTAACAATGGTAATTGTCAAATGGTGATTTGGGGATGATGATAAATGATGGGTATTGTGAATGAGACAAGATGGAGAAGGATGGTGAATTAGATGTGAATGATGAAGAATGAAAATGGGCAAATGGTTAACAATGGTGAATGGTTTGGAGAACAATTGTGAATTAGATGTAAATGATGAAGAATGGGAATGGGCAAATGGTTAACAATGGTAATTGTCAAATGGTGATTTGGGATGATGATGGTTTGGAATGGAAAATGGTTGGTAAAGGGGGGAAGTGTCGTGATGACGTTTCACGATGATGACGTGTGACGTTGAAGAAATATATGTTGTCAATAATTATATTTTATATACATATATAGATATACATTGTATATGCATATGGGAATATTATTCATACAATAAAAGATAATCTTTATAATCTTTACGATCAACTACAAGATAATCAGTACAGGTAGGACCATTGTGTCTTTCTATTATTATTTTCTCCTTTTTAATTTATTGATACACTTTTCAGAGAATTAATAAAGGCTAAATTAAATTAATCTATCTCTTTTACCAACTATCAATATTTTATGAATATAAAGAATTTATTTTTTAGATAATAAATTCAATTAAAACCTCCATTATTTACAATGAATTAATTATTATGGCATTATGAGCTTGCTAAAATATCTAAACCTTTTAAATTACATTACAAAGGATAGCAGAGAGTTTTATTTGGAAAACAATGTGTATGATTGTTTGAAATATATAGATTTGGTCGATGAATTGTATTATAATAATTCTATAACAAAAGTATTAATTTTACAGAAATAAATTTTGTCCTATTTGATCTCAAAATTTAATAGATAACCCCCCAAAAAATTTATCATACCCCCATTAAAGCAGCCTACCCCTCAAATGTTCCTACCCCTCCCGCTCATGTAGACGCTGATTGTATGAGTTACTCAAAAAGAATAATAAATTTGAATGGGGAGGGGGGGAGGTAGACAGGAGAGGAGTTTTCAGGATTTAAAATGAGAAATTGGCAAGAGTCCTATATTAGTGAGTTTTAATGAAGAGTATGAGGTAGTGTTAACAGCGGATGCTTCTAGTGAGGGGTTTAGAGGGGGATTGTTGCATATGATGGAGGGGATGGAAAAGCCGATATTATATTTTTCAAGAGCTCTAAGTAAAGCGGAAAAGAATTATTCTGTCATTGAGAAAGAGGCATTGGCGCTAAAAGAGGAATTAGTAAAATGTAGAGAATATTTGATAGGTAGAAGATTTGTAGTGTATACTGATCATAAGCCATTGGTGGGGTTAATTAAGATGGACAACAGGGAATTGTTGTTATCAAAACGATTGCAGCAATGGTTGTTATTATTGGGTCGTTTAACATGGAATTAAAGTATAGGAAAGGGAAGGAGAATTGTATGCCTGATGTTATGTCTAGGCTATGTGTAGGGGAGCAGACAGAAGAGGATGGGGATGGTAGGCAGGAAAGGATAAATGTAATAGGGGTAAATAGAGAGAAAGATTATGTGAAGTGGGGTGAGTTAGTTGAGGCAACGAAGCAAGACAGGAAGTAGAGTGATGAGCAGATTGAAGGGAGAACGTGAATTGGATATAAGAGATAGGAGGTATGAGCTGTTGAAGGAAGATTTAAGTTTGGTGGATAGGAATGTAGTTAGAGGTTATCGAATGGTAAACTACTCATCTGCATCTGCATCTGCATCTGCATCTGCATCTGTATTATTTATTATTTTTGGAGAATATTTTTGTATTGCAATCGATGTTGATATACTCCCCTGTACTGACTTATATGAATGAAATGATGTTGATTTATTATTGTATAAAAATAAAACAGGATAGAAAGAAATTTACAAACTAGACATGTTTTTCGAATAAATAGTTAAAATTTATTTTAAAAATATAAAAATAATCAATTACTCTCTTTCAAAATTATCATTTATATATTAAAAACGTTAAAATACTTTTTTAAAAAATTGCGGTAGATTTTTGCGGGAGATTTCCAATTGCAGTAGTTTTGCGGGAGAGAGATGTCTGCGTGTAAACTAAAAAATTGCGGGAGTCTCCCGCTGATGGGGGGAGACATGGCAACCCTGCTCATGACATAAGATATAGATAATTGTAAACGTTATTCTCTATTATTCGACTCTATCCATGGGGGGGGGGTTAAAATTTTTTGGGGGGGTTTCACCCCCAAATCCTATTTTTAAATATTGCTAATATTATCTGCTTTATTGTGTCAAATCATTATTAGTGTTGTTAAACGGCTCTTTTTGAGCCGATTTTTAAAAACGATTAACTCAATATTTTACCCTGAATAATATTAAGCAACCCTGAAGATTTTGTTTGTAGAAGGAACAAATATTATTAGCAAAATCTCAAGGCTTAGGCAATATTTTTCTGGCTAAAATATTGAGTATAGGGCATGATATATTGGTTTACTATAGTGTTATATTTAATAGAATATTAGGTAATTTTTAATAAATAATAATACTTAACAATAAGAGCATGATATATTGGTTTGTTATATTTAATATAATATTAGGTAAATATGAATAAATAATAATATTTAACATAATATTTAAAAACTAGATTAGATATTTGCCTGCCATATTAAGCGTAAATATATATGGAAGATAGACTATATGACACCGGATATTATATTGCATTTAGAAACAGGCTTAAAGCAATGTTTCTTCTACGTTATTTCATAATATTGAAGAAAATCCTGGCTATCTAAAGGGATATACTTGTCAGTGACATACCAAGTGTTATAAAATAACTTTTAATATTTGGATAAATTTCTAAAATATATTTAAAGTAGATGATAATGTTTTTTGAGGATATAAAAATTGATCACCATGCCAGTATTTTCTAAAATGTTTAATTTTGATGCGATGGGAACCTCGTTACAACATTACTGGTCTGGAAATTATATATTAGGAGCAGTAATAGGATTTAGCTGGAGCTTATACTTTTGGGATTTATATTTAGATAGAAGACAGGTACATGGAAGTAAGATTTTAAAGTTATAATAATTCTTATAGAGGAATGTCTATAAAACGTCCAAAACTATTCCAGATGAATTAAAAGATGTGATATCGCCCGAAACATTTGAAAAATCAAGAAAATATAAATTAGATACTTCTAAATATGGTATTATACACACTTTATTTGACCAAATTTTGGACACAGTAATATATCATGATTACCTTCTCTAGTAATACTTTTATTAGTCTCTGTTAGCTGTAGCCGCTTTTCCATTTTTATGGAATGTAAGTGGAAAAATAATGTCAAAATATGGTTATGGGTCACATTATGAAGTATATATATATAATATGTTATTAATGTATGTATTTTTTATTATCTAGATAACACAATCCCTTATATTTACTGGAATATTATATATCATTACATATGCAATTAATATACCATGGAAGTGCTATTATGATTTTGTAATTGAACAAAAACATGGATTTAATAAAATGGTTGTCAAATTTTATAATTTGTTAACAATAAATTATTAAATTAATAGACTGTTGGTTTTTTTATCAAAGATCAATTCAAACATTTGGCATTGAAATTAGTTTTGATACCTCCCATACTAGCTGGCATGATTCACATTATAAAAATAGGAGGCAAATATTTTTACTTTTATGTGTGGTTATTCTTTTTTCTCCTATCATTAGTAATTTTTAACATGTCTATAATATTTTACTATAAAATAGTTCTTCATGGCAATATACCCAACAGTCATTGCCCCATTATTTGATAAATATACTCCCTTAGATCAAGGTGAATTAAGATCAAAAATTGAAAAATTAGCATCAAAATTGAAATTTCCTTTGAGTCAAATTTTTGTTGTAGAAGGTATTAAATTATTTCTGATGTTTTTTAACATAATTATAACTTTGAAATATAACTTGTTTAGGATCCAAAAGAAGTTCCCATAGCAATGCATATTTTTATGGCTTTTTTAAGCATAAAATGATTGTGATATTTGATACTATCTTACCAAACTATTTAAAAAAAGATAAATCAATAATAGAAAAACTAGATAATGTTGAGGAATTGGTTAATCCAAATCTTGCCTCAGATTCTACTGATGCTTTATTGGATGGTGAAAAGAAAAAGGATGTTTATAATTCTATTAATATTTTATAATACTATATTAATTTTGTGATATATTTTATAATTATAGTCAGAGATGCATCTATATCATACCAATGATATATATTTTAAATAGATATTTATATAATATTAATCTTTAATGGAGCATTAGTTTTTTTTGCAAAATGACATTTCACTTTTTATAACATCAGTTTTTTAAAATTTATTTTAGTTATAGATTTGTATTTATTTATTTGATTTTTACTAATGAATTTCTATACAATTTAATAAATGGTAATATAATTAATCCCAGAAAAAAGCATGACCATAAAAACTGCAGAAAAATTTTCAAAGAGAAAAAAAAATTTAAGAATAAAAAACTATATAAAAAAATCTTTAGGAATAAAAGTCTGCATTATATAAAAATAAATAAAACAATGCTTATTAAAGTTTAATAATAATGTTCAGATTTTTAATTATGCATATCTCTGTGTTTATATATGTTGACATTAACATTTCAATTTATCAATGATTATTAACCATAACATTAGGTTCATCAAACAAGAATATTTGAATAGTGGAAAGGTCATATGGCAGGGATTCTACATTTTTGCAATATTTATTTTTAATTTTATAGAATCAATTAATTAGGTTTTTTATTGCAAAAATATAAATTAAAGCATTTTTATAAAGTTAAATAAAATAAAATCACTAATTGATGTCATAATTCTAGAATTTGCAAAATATATCCTATCTATTAAATTTTTAAGCCTGGTCCTAGCCACACCCAATTTGGGCTGACTTGCTGGGCTTCCATAAAGGTAACAAATTCTCTACCATACTACTTTGCATATGCATGCACAATTAAGAGTAACTATTGACTTACCAGTTTTTTTTGTCAAGTTTTTTCCCCCATTACCAATATAATGTATATTATAACTAATGTAAGAAAATTTCAATTTTTTTAATTATATTTATTTTATTTTTTCCCCTTTAAAATTTGTAAGCACTCTATCACGAAAACTATGACCAATGAAGAAATTTTAGCTGTTATTGCTCATGAGTTAGGACATTGGAAATACAGTCATACCTTAAAACGGTTTGTTATGGGCCAAGTAAATTTATGTTATTTTGATATTTTTTTAAATGTGACGTTTAACACAAAAATTCCTTAACCTTTTTCCACTTTTGATGTTTTAATTTAGTCCCTTGAGAAAAGCCATATAAGCACATTATACTGTAAATTATATATATATATATATCAAAGTTGTTAAGGAGTGACACTACAGGAGCAGCACTAAACTTTTTCAAAAACACTTGGAGTGCTTCCTTTTAAAAATCAGACAGGAGCTAGCTCTTTTTAAAGATGGAGTGGAGGAGCGCTGCTCCACTGCTCTTTTAAATTTAATGTATAAATTATATTATTTTTTAAATATTAATAAATCTATTTGTTAATTAAAATTTAATAAAAATGAAATATTATTTTATTTAAATTTATGCAATATTAAATGTTGAGCCGAGTCTTATATTGGTTTTTCATCAAATCAGTTAAAATATTAAACATCAAGTTTTTCTTTCTTTTTAAATGAAAATTTCTTCGAAAATCTTGTAGGTCATATTAATATTCATTTTATAGATATATGATACAAGATAGTTTTTGATATTTTCAGACATCATAGAAGAAGAAATCGAAATAAAAAAATAAATTATTTATTTAAATAACTTTATTGCAGATATTCAACTTTATAATGATGAAAATATCATTGCGGCTATTATCCATCCTGCATTCAAATTAAATTAGGATTGGATAAAAAATGCACAATATATGGGACTAAAATACAAATTAATTAATTTTTTAAGAAAACAAATTCCTGATGCAAAATAGTGATGTTAAAAGTTACTTTTGAAACATAACTAGTTACTAGTTACATTTTTACAAAAGTAACTAGTTATTAGTTACAGTTATTTTCAAAAATAACTAGTTACTTACTTTATACATCATTCATATGCGCATTATTTATTTATTGAATGCATTTATTTAATATAAAAAAAATTAGGATAAACAAAGTATAATCAGTTATTTAAAATAATATACAATTTATTTGTATAAAAAAATATCGCAAAATTGAATATTTATATCGAATATAAAAATATATATTTGCATTGAAAAAAAAACATTCATTTTTCATAAAAATTAGAATCTAATAAATGTTTATTTGCTTTTAACAACAAATTAATTTCTAAGTTATTATCTAGGAGACGTGCTCGTTTATCTCCAAAAATGAGCTTAACTAGACTGAACAAGCGCTCTACGGGAGCACTTGATGTTAGAACAACATTATATTTAATAAAAAGTAATTTTTACTTTGGAAAATCGTTATATAAAGAAAAAGTGTTGTTATTAGATTTGATAAAGTTTTCTATAAGTTCATTATCCAGAATATTTTGGCGCTTTAGGCCAAAAAATCCAACTACATCAAGTGATGTTGGTTTTGAGCATGATTCATTTGTCTGGGATTCACTTTGAGGTATTCCTCCTTTTTTGCTTTATTCCTTTCTTGCCTCCAAGGCCAGTCAGTTTTAAATAAAGGGTGAAGAATTGCAGCAATGATGTCATTATCATAAAGATTATTAAACCTATAACATGATATTTTTGTTAGACTTGGTTCTTGTAAGTAATGATTAATAATTTAATATTAAATTCTAAAATAATCTGTCTTTGTTTTTCCTTATACTAAATTAAAAATTTTTTTATTACGTATGATATGAAGTTCCAATGCTTGTTACTTGACGGAAAAAAATATATTGTGCTACATTTGTAAATAAATATAATATTAAAATTTATTACTTGAATTTGCTTACAAAATTATGAAGCCCAGCAGCAATGTAACAATTTAAGAAAATAAAATCAATTTGAACGGGAAATTATAACAATCAGACATTTTCACAAAATTTTAAATTAATAAATTTAATTTAAAAAATAAATTTAATTTAAAATTAATTTATCACAACATATTAAAAATAAAATTAATTATTTGAATATATCTTTAAAAGTAACTAGTTACTTTTGGCAGTTACATTTCAAAAATTATAACTAGTTACAATTTTAAAAATATAACTAGTTACAGTTATTTTTTAGCCAAAATGTAACTAGTTACAGGTAACAAACTACTAGTTCATGGGAACCCAGAAATAATTTGGAAGATTTTTTTGGATTCCATGAAATTGATCATCAGGAAAATAATATATTGGACAAATATTTTTAAATCATAATATCAAAATTACTATTTTTGATAAATAATAAAAAATTTTTTATAAAATACAATACCCCGCTTCCCTATATTGTTCCTATTGAGCTTTTGTTTAGTATTGCTAAACAGGTTAGGGGAGAGTCATGGATGTTTGTTAGATTCAAATTTAGAAAATTTATTACTTTTAAAAGCTAATAAAATATAAATATTTTAATATATCATTATAAATAAAACTTTTTTGATAAAAAAATATTATTTTGTTTTATGTACTTTCTAAAAAAAAGAAAATCAAAGGAGCGGTTATGGAGTGGTCTCCATTATTTGGAGCAGGAGCTAGCTCCTTTTAAAAATTTAGTAGCGGGAGTGGGAGCGAGAAGGTAGAAGCGGGAGCTAGCTACTTTTAAAAAGGAGCGTTATGGTGTGGATAAATTTTATTTACCTTTGCCAGAATTTTTATCCACTTTGTATATATATAGTTATAGCACTCAACCTATGAATTTCAAAAAATTTTGCATTTAAGCTAACTTTAATCATAAAAATTTGAGTTGATTTAAATTTGGTTTAAAATTTTATGCCAATATTGTCTGATTCATAGGGTAGCTATTACATACTAGCAGGCTTGTTAATCGATCTTTTTAAAAGGATCGAATCCCGATCACGATCTATTCAAAAAAGAGATCGAAATTCAGGATCGATTTTTTTTTATAATAAGGATCGCCATCACGATCGATTCCTTTTCTTATTTTATAAATATCTGAAGAAAATTTATACTCGTAAAAATAAATTAAATATAGTGTAAATTTATTGTGATAGAATAATAACAATGCATACAAATATAAAAGTAAATAATACAGAATACTTATCCAATATATACAAATAGTTTACATGTACAACTTAAAAATATATTAAATCTAGTATATAAAAATATTTAATTTTGCGTAAATATACATTTTAAAAAAAAATACTGTATTTATAAAAATAATAAATATATATAATTACAATAAAATATAAGTAATTTTTGTTGTACATAACGGAATTTAAGAAAAATATATAATTTAACAATTCTAGAAATTTAAACAACCAACGACTACATAATACAAAGTATAATAATGGAAATATAATTAGTGCAAATGATTACATGAGGAAGAAGGAGGGGGGTGGTTTAAATATTTAGGGAAATGGAAGAAAATCTAGATTAATCAGGCTCCTCGGGGAACGAACCTATGAAGCATGGGAAATTAGATTTTATAATCTGAATTCCTATGCGTTGACGTAAGTAGACGCCTTCTTTTGGGTCTCCTGATTTTGTTCTTAAGGTTCTGCCAATCTTTTTAATTAGGCTAAGAGCCTGACTTCCAAGAGATGTTAAGGTTGTCATGACAACTGGTACGAATTTATACTCATCTGGAATATCCACATATTTATTTGTGTTAAAATCTTCGGTGTATTTTAAAATGTCTTTATTGATGTTGGAGGGTGAGAGGGGGTCAACGCAGGAGAAATCCCACGCTAGAAATCGGTTATTCTCCCAAGGAATTTGTGTAATTCCATCGGGTCGTCTCCCATCCGTAAAGAGACCTGAGGGTTCTAAAGTGGCAGGAAAGCCTGCTGACTGTTATATATTTATTTATAATCAAAATTATCCTATAAATAATAAAGAAAAAATCTAAATTATTATCATTCAAACAGCAATGGTGTTATATTTTTTGTTATCCTACATTAATAGAATCATCATTTGAATAAAAAATGCTAAGATTTTTCCCCAAAGAAAGTATCAGTTTTACCTATACAATCATTTGAATAAGAATCTGTATGTGGTTGATCTTGCAGTTTCCAAATAGGTAATTAACCTTTTTTTTTACCATCAGTTTTTATGTCAGATTGATACAAGGTCAATTAAGTTTAAATTTTGGCTGAATTATTGCTGCTAATATACTGTACTCACACATTGAAGGAAATGTATATTTAAAAAAAATGATAATTAACATTATTATACGGAACTGAGAAAAGGGGTTCACATTTTTATCTATCACTTCAATTATGTATTTTCATTTAGATCTATAATAGTTAGTAAATACCTAAAATTAGTTTATTTTATTTTTAATTGAATAAATAAAACAAACAAATTCTTAAATATTGTCTATATGGTGGAGGATGCTAAATAATGATGGAGATGAATCCCGGAAAAATAATCCCCGAATTTTTCATGTTTATAAAATTTACTTAAGACCTAATAATATAGGCATATTTTTATTTGCATTATAATGTATACTCATCTTTTTAAGGTTTAGGCAAATTTATATTTTAGAAAAAAATATATTTTATTAATAAGCTAAATTTTTTTAATGACCCTAATTCATTATTTAAAGGTTACTCAGACAGCTTCCATAAAAAATGCTTAAACAAGATAAAATGCTGATGTTCAAAGTAGTACTGGGAAAAAAATACTCGCATAAAATAACCCATGTATTTCTTATTTTCGTATTACTATGGTAATAAATACAATATCCATCCACAATTATGATATTAAGACTGAATTTTATAATAAGATATATTTATATACAAATTTAATTTAGAATCTACACACCATCGTTCAAGTTTAGTTTCATTGGTAGCTACCTCGCATTTTATATTTTTGGTCAATATGGGTGTTTATTTCCAACCAGATTAAAACGATGTTCTATCCTTCACATTGATTATTCGTTTCTTCGGATAGAGTGCTCTAATATCAATGCACAATTCGGCTTGTCTGGGATTGAGAATTACTTGTGACCTCCCTTGATACTCCATTGATATAATTTTTATCGAAATAATCAAGAATATCCTAATTATTGCTCGAAGTAGGCCTATTCAAAAAGAATCGA